CCACAAGTGTGCATACAATTCGGCCAAATATTAACCTTCCTTTGGGCCGGCTAATATCCGCATGAACAAGCATACACACGAATTCCTTCTAATATTCTAAGTTAATTAATTTCCACAAGAGATGTTGCTTTGGCAACATATTGTTTCAGTCAATTCACTTTTAAATATTATATTCTCAAATAAGTCATTTATACCAAAATTTGAAAAGCAGAATACTTAATTTTATTGATCTTGAAACTTTAAGGGCCTAAGGATAAATAATTCAATACTTCATGGGTCAAAATTAATTAATTCTAAACTTTAGAGGTTAATAATTAATTATTGAAAAGTTTAGGAGTCAAAAATCAATCATTCGAAACTTTAGGGGCTTAATTATAAAATTTAGAACTTAAATGACCCAAATTAATTAATTTCAGAACTTCAGAGGCTGAATTATTAAAACCTATAACCTTAAGGTCAAATTAGGATTAACTTTAAACTTTAGGGACTGAATAATAAATAACTCAACCTTAACCCTAATTTTAAATTGCAAGCAAGGGCTCCAAAACTTCAAATTTCCAGCCCAAGCCCCCACCCCCTCAAATTCCAAATTGAAATTGAAAACCTAATAGGGAAGTCCCTTGACCTCCCTCTACCTTGGTGGCGCTGGAGAGGGCCAAAAAAAAAAAAAAAAGGTCGGGGTTGCCGTCCGCTAGCTAGTTGGAACACTGCTGGCAACAGCGCGATACACTGTTGTTGCAGTAGTTACAGCAGCCACGCTGCTGCAACAGAAATTATTATTATTATTTTTTAAATCAGATCTGAAAAAACCTCACTTTTAAAAATCCGAATTTTATGAAGAAAAAACACTTAATTATATCATAATCCATCCAATAACATGTTTGATTAGATGCAATATAATTCCAAATTCCATAAAAAAACTGATAGATCAAATCACCCAAAAATTCAAAATTTTTAAAACCTCAATTTCTCAAAAATTCAACAATGGAGTGGCTCTGATACCACTTGATAGAAAACATAATAAAGAGATTACAGATTCAAATCATTTAATCAAATCCTTATCTAAACCCTAAAATTCATACTCTATGTTGAATCTGAGAAAATGAAAAAACCACAAACATAGCTGGATCCATGGATGTCAGATTGTTTGTGTGGATGAGTTATAATCTTCCAATTGATTGGTGATCTCCTCTTGATCTTCTCTCTCCGTTGATGGGGATGCAGAGAATCTCTAAAATACCAACAAATGAGAATCATAACCATATAAAATAATAGTAACTGAATAGTTATTATTTTTCAATTGTTTCAAATTGGCCCCTCATCAATTTAAAACAACATTCCAATCTCTACATTATGTTTCCATGAAACATAATACCTATTAATCAAAATACAGCTTTAAGTGATCACTTTAATTGACTAAAATTCTTTAAATAATAGCATCACACAATTTAATATACAATGTGTGGCCCCATATATGTTGAAATTATCCAACATACAATTGTCGTATAATTTTAAAAATCTCAAATTCTCTTTGCCCCGCATGATTAATAAAAGGGATAATTGCATTGGATGTTCCAAACCTTTAAAAAATGTGCAGATTATGCTCAAGCCTTTAAATCGTAGTAGCAAAGGTCCGCAAACCTTTCAAAATTGTGGGGCAGAAGAACCTCTAGACAATTTTTATCTAGATGCACGTTATTTGACTAAAAGTCAGCGTTTGATCATAATTTGATCAATTTTAAAGGATAAAATGGTCTTTTAACCTTTAAAGGAAAATTTGTATGTCCCAAACCTTTTAAAAATGTGCGGTGGAGGTCCTAAACTTTTAATAAATGTGTGTTGAAAGGACATCTAATGTTTTTCATCCAAAAATTTGTTAATTCACAAAAATATTTATGTTTCCCGATCCCCAAAACCACCCAACCCTAACCCCAAACCAATCCAACCCCACCTATTGGTAGGTACGAGAGCCTCCGCCACTTCCATTATCGTTGGTTTTGAAGAGAATATATATATATTTTTATTTATTTCTTCTTAGTTATTTAAATGTTCTTGTCAGAATGAAATTGGTTTATGGGAATGAAAAAATGGGTTGGCAGAAGTAGAGGTCAGTTGACCAAACAACATTCATCTTTC